GTTTTTTGTTAATATTCTTTCTTTCCTCTTTTCATAAATTTGCCTAATGTGAAATGGATTTTTGTTTGTTTAAAGATGGCACATTCCCCAGCTTCCTGGCATGCAGAATGTGTATAATAGAAAAAACATTTTTTTTCTTCCCATTCTTATGAGGCCAATTTAAAATCAAGTGCATTAAAAACATGGGCTTATTAGGAGAAAACCTGAGGGTAGATTCATATATATTTAAAGCTGGAAGAAGACTTTGGGAAGGGGAGACTATGGGCAAGGTGTATAACCTCTCCCGTAGCAGGTGTAAAACTGGAGCCCTCCCCATCACCCAGCATTATTTCTTATTAATGTTACGTAAATAGCCACGACCAAGAATGGAGAGGTACCAGGAAGATTTCCCATGGAGAGTGGAGTAATAAAACTGTGAATGAGGGTACAAGTGGTTCCCCTTTTCTGGAGAGAACTCTGCTGCCCTCTGGTTGCTTCCTGAACAGTGTCTGACAGGTTCCTTAATCCCCTGGTTCCCAAATTGTGTGCCGAGGCACCCCAGGTGCCACAGAAAATGCCCAGGGGCACCTCGGGATATTTTTGAATTTTGAAGGAAACACAGTGATACTTGACATCTGTGCACACTGCCTGAGCTATTAATGAGAGGAAATCCACAGTTGCAGCATTAGATTGCATCACGTTCCTTTTGATGACACCCTTCCTACCTTCATGGAGTTGGCTTTTTGGTGGATGCTGTGTTAAAAAGAAATTGGTTGGGGAAAAGGAAATGAGTGAGTGTGCAATCTGATTCCGAGGGTTGAGAAGTTGTGCGGTGCCCCACACGTGCACAAATTGCATTAGAAAGTGATTGTAGTCATTTAAGAATAAAAAATATCAGCCTTTTCCAATTTGGGTGTATATTATTTTTGCAAGCAACCACTAAATTGTTAGGACATAAATACTAATTAAATTGTTTGGATCTAACTACTTGATAAATGGACTCTTTAGGTATTTCTTTTGGTCTAGGGTTTCTGTGAAACTTTGCCTTGGGCGTAAGGTTAGGGCAGATCAGATTCTTCAAGTTAATTCAGCATCTTTAGTACCATTTGTTCAACTGGAGGCTGCTGGTAGACCAGAATGACTTTTTTTGAAAATCAGTCTAGAATAATTTTATTTTTAATTTTAAAAAATCTATAATAATAAAATGATAATATGCTAATTAGACCAGACAGCCGAACAACCTTCCAGACATCATTTCAGATGTCCTTCCTGATGAAGCTGCCGTAGTGGGGGCTGAGGCATGGGCAGTTAGGGGTGATCAGGCAGGCAGGTGAGCAGTTAGGGGTGATCAGGCAGGCAGGTGAATGGTTAGGGGCGATCAGGCAGGCAGGAAGAGGCAGGCAGGAAGAGGGGTTAGGGGCAATCAGGCAGGTGAGTGGTTAGGGGCAATGAGGCAGGCAGTCAGAGTGGTTAGGGGTGATGAGGCAGGCAGGCAGGCGAGCGGTTAGGAGCCAGCAGTCCCAGATTGCGAGAGTGATGTCCGACTAATCTGGCAGTCGGACATACCCCAAGGGGTCCTGGATTGCGAGAGGGTGCAGGCCGGGCTGAGGGACTCCCCCTCACCACCCTCCCATGCATGAATTTCGTGTACTGGGCCTCTAGTTTCAAATAAAATCATCGATGTTAGAGAGGAGGAAAGGAGAGAGAGAAAAACATCAATTTGTTGTTCCACTTAGTTATGCATTCATTGGATGATTCTTGTGTGTGCCCTGACAGGGGATAGAACCCACAACTGTAGTATTGGGCTAATCTTAGAATGATTTTATTTAGATGAGGAAACTAGTCCAGGAGTAGGCAACCCCTGGCACGCATGCCAAACATGGCACACCAGTAACTTTTGCTGGCACACGAAACCCTCTCTTATAATCTTCCATTTACAATTTTTTTCTTAATATCGACTTTTTTATTTTTCAGATAAATTCAGTGTAGGTGCATCTTAGATAAAGAAATAATTTTACATAACAAGTTATCTTAAAGACCATAGACATGGATTGACGAGGGAGGGGAAGAGTAATTTCTATGCCTCTGCCTTAACTCTCCCTGCCTTCCTAGATCCGACCAGTGTTTTGGTTTCATCCACATACACTTGTGAATCTTTGTTCTCAGTGATGAATTTTGTTAAGTCTCATAATAGGAGTAGCCTGATGGATGAAAGTAGTAGCTCGTGCATATCTCTGAAGGTCACGAAATATAAACCTGATGTAAAATCTCTGTCATCAGTGATGCAGCAGCAAAAGTCCCACTGATAATATCAAACGGAGTCATAAAGTTTTCTGTCGGACTATCAGTGTACATGTACACATTAAAAAATAAATGCATTTTTCATCATCATCTACTGTGTTTTTGTCACTCAAATGAATTTTATTATTTCTCCAAGGTTCTTCACATACGTACACCTTAAGAGATATCAAGTAGGCGTAACATGTTCTCAAAAAATTAGGGTTGGCACACAGAAGAATTTTGAGTCAGAGATTTTGCTGGTTTTGGCACGCACTCACAAAAAGGTTGCCCACCCCTGAACTAGTCTTAGAAAGTAACTTGATGCAGGTTATCCAGTCTGGGCAGATCCAGGTTTTATGGGGGCCTGAAGCTTCTGCAATTGTTGGAGCCCTCTTTGAGAACAACAATGCACAATTAGAGATTCAAAACTGGGCTGAGGGCTTGCCAGGGGCCCATGCAGGTGAGGGGTTGTGAAGCTTAAGGTTCATTCGCTTCAGGGAAATCCGCCCGCAGGGGCCACCAGCTAGTAAGAGGTGGAAATGGAATTCAAACACAGCTTTGTCTGCCTCTACAGACACAAAATGGGAATCTCCTTTCCTAAAGACAAGAATAGAAAACCAGGGGTGTGAAAGCACTTCTAGAAATGTGAGCCTCGCTGGGTCATGGGTCCCTCCCTAAGAAGGAATCTGAGAGTAGGAACACAATGCCTGTATCTTCTCATTAGAGTTGTGACAGGTGACTGGAGGTTAGCGCTTTGGCAGCAAAGCTGAGTTTGAATTCTGGCGCCACCTCTGCCTAGCTCCCTGATCCGTGAAAGTTACTGACCATCTCTGGGTGTTACTGGAGCAACAGTGTCCACACTCCACACGGCAGTGAGATTAAAAGAGAGATCACAGGTGCAAATGCCGGGTCTACAGCAGGCACAGGCCTCCCTCTCCTTCCTCTGCTCCCACACAGATATCATGGGCACTGTGTCCCACACAGATATAGACGAACACTGGTAGAGGTTTCCTTCCTGTGGGGGTACGTTAATGAAATGCACATATATGGCAAGCAACTGTCTAAAAATATTCAAATCAGGCCAAGTTGGCAGATACTTGCCTGGGATCTTGTCTTGGTTCAGTGCCTAGCTCAGTGTCTATTTTCCGGGGTTCCCCATTATCCACAGACTAAGTTGAAAACTCCTTACCCTGGTATTTAAAATTTCCCCCAATCTGACCTCAACTTAACCTTCTAACATTTCCCCCACGATGATCCAGCCCTACCTCTCTTCTCACCAGACTGGTTTCCTCACTGACCTTTTAATGTTCGCCAGGGCTTTAGCAGAAAGTCACGTCCCCTGCCAGGAATTCTTTCTCCATTTCCACTGTCCTGAGTCCTACCCATCTTTCAGGACCAGTGTAAGCCCCCTCTGGGCAGAGAGCATTTTCTCAGCGATCCCAGCCCCGGGGTGGGGGTGGGGGGGGGTTCCCCGCTCTCGATTCCTACCACTAGTCCCACTTGTACCATGCATCCAGGTCTTACCACACACCGCCTCGTTTTGTTTTATGGCTTTTAGGGAGTTTGCTTTTCCTTTCAATTGCATTGTAAGTTCAGTGCGGTGTCATGGAAATAACATCAGACCGTAGGCAGAGACTTGGCTTCTGTTTCTAACTCGCTGTACAACCCCAGGCAAATAGTTTCCTTTAACTCAGAAGTGAGGGGCTTGGATATGGAAACTCTAAGATTCCTTTCCTTAAAATTAGGACCTTCTTTCCAAGGCCCAGCTCAGTGACATGCATATATCATTTCTTTTAAAGAACATTAAAAACATTTGCTGATCTCTTATTCCCAAAGCACCGAGCTAGATGCTAATGGGTAAGTAAAGGTAAACAAGAACGCAGGGCTTACTCTCAAGGAACTTGCAAGGGAAAACTAGATAGATAGACATAATCACTTGTGGGATTTATTGAATGGGGTCAGGAGGTGAAAGGTGAGGAACTGGTGGAGTATCTCTCTGGCATTCTGTCTGGTGGGTGCCTCTGTCACCCCACTCCACTGTTGGGCCCCGAGGCCGACTTCATCCTCTGAGTCCCATCTTTCCTCCTTTCCCAGCACCCCACCACCCACATCTTACAAGGGCAAAACTCAGAACCTCCCAGCCTCTGTCCTCACTATGCCATACATCCTGTTCCCCTTGGCTGAGACGTCCGCCCTACTGCTCTCAAGTTGGGGACGACCCAGTCAACATGACTGCCCTGCCCTCTGCCCTTCCTTTCACTATCTGCGGGCACCTGAACTCCGTCCTCCAAAGCCCAGCCTGGCCTGGTAGATGAATCTGGCTGAATATATAATAATATATAATAATCTGGGAGGCATCAGGGAAGAGGGACAGAACATTCAGAGCCCCAGCACAGTGGCCGGCCCAGAGCGATTGCGTGGAGGGCTTTATTAATATGTCAAGTGCTGTCCTGAACCCTACCTGTGTTAACTCATTTAATCCTCCCAGCATCTCTAAGAGATGGTGACTATCTTGACCCTCCATTTACAGATAAGGGACTGGAGGCAGGGAGCAATCGAATGGCTTGCCCAAGATAGCTAGCAAGTGGAGATAGGCCTGGGATTCAGTCTGGCTCCACAGCCCCCTCTCCCAACCTGTAGCTGGAACGGCCTCTTTTCTGTTTGCAAACTCTGAAAGGGTTTCTGCCAGCTATGACCTTGAGACGGACGGCAGGTACCGGCAGATACCCGTTCCCCGGGGGAGAGGGGGATGTGCACGGCGCGCACAGGATGAGCGAGACCGGAGGTCGGGGTGGTGCCTCTGGCCCCGAAAGGCAGGCACCGGTGCACAGAGAGAAGGCCCCGGCCACAGGAGGTCCGCGCTCCGCTCTTGGCTCTGAGCGAGGAGATCTTTCCACCTTTCTGAACCCCAAGTCTCCCCACCTCTAAAGGAGCAGAAAGGTTAGGGGAGCTGGGTTGCGGAGCTCCCCGGGGACCGCCAGCATTCCGGCATCGGAGAGGTCAGGCAGAGGTGGGAGGGCCGGACAATATGGGTCTGTGTGCGCAGGACGCCCGGGGGCGGGGGCAGGAAGGGGTGTGTTTATGCAGCGGGGGCTGGGGGTCGGTGCGGTTCTGTGCAGCAGGGCAGGAAACTTGAGGAAGGAGGCTCAGCCCAGTGGGACTTGGAGGAGTTGGGGGCGAGCCCGCTGCGCGCGGAGGCTGCGTGGGGAGGCGCAGCCACGGTGACTAAG